TGATGTGCTGATTGAATAATATATCCCTCGTCCTTAGAATAGAAACAATTGTTCAGCTTTGATAAACAAATAATTAGCTCATGTATAGTTTTAATGATGCATATCAGATTAATCTAGAAATACCCTGGAGTAAGTTCTTTCCAGACTGCAAGATTTCGGCATAAAAATAGTACCACCCCATTTTACAATAAAATAACAATAGCTGGAAAACCTTCTTGGAAGATGCTGTAGATACATGGACATTTCAAATTTCAGGCTTTGTCTTGAGCTTAAGATGTTTTCCCCAGCAATATTAAAAGTGTAGCAGTAGTTTGTAAATCAAAACAACAAAATCAACAATATCCTTTAAGATCACAATGGATCTGTTTTAGTGACAATGTTCTGAAGTTGCTTGGTTTTACTCCCCACTTCCTTGCCAAAAACTCTTCTGCACAGAATTGTATTCAATTATTTAGTACAAATATTTGCTCTGGGGCTTCTCTGTGTAGGTGGGGGGAGGGAAGAGGCAGGATTCCTCTGCATTATTCACAGAGCTTGCTCTTATTTTCTCACAGCTTACTGCTTGGGCTCTGTCTGTTGGCATTAAGGCTATGTGAGCAGGGCATGAAGAACATTGTTCTGCATTAGAATTCGATGGAGAAGGTGGAGCCAAGGAAGGCGGGTCTATGAAGTATCATCCGAGTGGTTCTTCTAGCAAGGCACTTTTCTCATGCAGAGCCTGAATAGAGATGGAAACCTTTTAATTCTGTCAACCAGGCTCTTCCCTTTGGCTAGCATTAATGCTTATGCAAGGTTTGTTAGCCCCTGGAAGGATTAGCCTTGCTGTGGTGGGAGCATTTTAAAAAAATTAAATGAAGTACATGGGAGGCTTTAAAATGGTTTTCATAAGAGAGGAGAGGCTTGTGATGCAACTTCTACAGGTGTCACAGGCACCACACAATCTGTGCCTCCAACATTAACTGAGCCCTCGTTCTTGCACCAAAATACATACAATGGTTGCACTTGTTGGGAGAAAGCACAATTTACTGTTTAACTGTGTGCTTGCTGGGGCAATCCTGTGCAGCTCTCCTGGGGAAATGGCTGTCTCTAGAAAGGCCCTCTAAGGCAAATGTCTGCCCAGCAAAGTTCCAGTCCATGAGAAGTTTGTAACAAAACTACTTTCTACTAGTAATCATGGGGAAAAGACCAGTGTACATTGCAACAAAAAACTGAAGGAGGCCCTGGAACAGAACATTGCTCCTTTCATTCAGCAGAAATTGCTGAAAGGATATAAAGTGCAAAAGTACAAATAAAAAGCATCCTCCTAATCTTTAACACAGAGGTAGCAAGTGCAACAGCTGGAATAATGTAATGATTAGAAATGTTGGACTAATAGGTTCAAATTTCTATTCTGCCCAGAACTCTGCAGGGTGACCTTAGCCCAGTCCCTCTTAGTCTTTCACTCTCAACCTAAACTATTTCACAGGGTCACTGTGAGCCTCTGCCTCTGATTGGATGAACTGATGACTCAGTATGTTCAGCTGCTCAGGGAGCAAAGCAGATTGCAGTCCAGCTTCTGTGTGGGAAGGGAAAATTGTCACTTTGGTTGGGATTCACACAGAGGCAGACTGAAGCCCGTGAAGAGGTCTCTGGAGGAAGGGAAACTAAGAGCCAGAGAAGAAGCAGAGAGAAGGGTAGGTGGAAAATAGAAAAGGAACAGAAGATAAAACTGAGGCAAGAAAGAATTAATGAGGGAGAGGATTCTGAAGAAAGATAGCACTGAGCATTATGGGCTCAGTGAATGAGGGGGGGCTGATCAAGACACAGAGGGTAGAACTACATATTACACACGTGTGTAACAAAATTTTGGTTGGAGACAATTGGAAGGGGACAAGTGGCAGAAAAGGGGGATATTTAACCTTTTCTCCACTCCCAATCACTTCCAAGAAAGAGCAGGCAGGGAAAGGGTTAAGCACACACATCATTACATACACAGAGCTGCTCCAGTCAAATTTCCTCTCCCTGAAGCTTCTATGTGTATATAAAATGTGCTGTTAGGTCCAAAGTTGCTAAAGGGAGTGGAACAATATAGAAAATGGTCTGCAAAGCAGGGCCCTCAGGAAATGGCAGGGGTTGAGGATGTGAAGTTGAAGAAAGGAGGCACCAAGGGAAGAGCAGGACTGAGGGCTACGGAATATTGGCAAATAGGGCAAGGGAAACTGGGAGTTGCTGGTTGGGGGGTAATGACTTCTGGGCCACAAGTGTAGATCCTGAGGAGAATTTTGTCTGTTGTAGCGTCTGCTATCACTGTAGCATTGTTATTTATAACTCCAAAAAAGCAATGATGGTCAAAAACAGGGGCATTTAAAGCTATTCTGTTACCACAGAATAGCAGTGTCTTAGAATCACAGAGTTTGGAAGGGACCTCCAGGGTCATCTAGTCCAACCCCCTGCACAATTCAGGAAGGGGGAAAATGGAAGCCGCCCTGAGCCCGCTTGTGGGGAGGGCGGGGTATACATTTAATAAATAATTATAATAATAATTCTTCAGAAGAGCAACAGCAACATGAAAATTTTGGAGATTAACTGACTTGGGAGAACTGGCTCGGTATTGGGGTAAATTAATTGAAAGGAAGAGATATTAATCTGGGATAATTATCAGAAAGGGAATATATTTTAGGGTGATCTGGGCAGAAAGTTAACTGCTTTAACTTCTGTGAAATGGGTGCTGTGTAGCAGCAGCAACATAGGCTTAAACATAGGCTTAAAGGAGTGGTGTTTGTAGATATGCTGAATGCATTAATTAATCATAATGCCCCTATATAAATCAATGGTGCGACCTCATTTGGAATACTGTGTGCAATTCTGGTCCCCACACCTTAAAAAGGATATTATAGCTTTGGAAAAAGTGCAGAAAAGGGCAACTTGAATGATAAAAAGGTTGGAACACTTTCCCTATGAGGAAAGGGTAAAGCATTTAGGGCTCTTTATCTTGGAGAAACGACGACTGAGGGGAGACATGATTGAGGTTTATAAGATTATGCATGGGATAGAGCAGGTAGAGAAAGAGGTACTTTTCTCCCTTTCTCACAATACAAGAACTCATGGGCACTCAATGAAATTGCTGAGCAGTCGGGTTAGAACAGATAAAGGAAGTACTTCTTCACCCAAAGAGTTATTAACACAGGGAATTCACTGCCACAGGAGGAGGTGGCGGCTACAAGCATGGACTGCTTCAAAAGGGAATTAGATAAGCATATGGAGCAGAGGTCCATCAGAGGCTATTAGCCACAAGGTATAGATAGGGGCTCTGGGGCAAGTGATGCTCTGTGACTTCTTGGTGCTTGGGGGGGTCAACAGTGGGAGGGCTTCTAATGTCCTGGGCCCCACTGGTGGACCTTCTGATGGCACTGGTATTTCTGGCCACTGTGTGACACAGAGTGTTGGACTGGATGGGCCTTTGGCCTGATCGAACACTGGCATCTCTTATGTTCTTATGTTAACTGCCTTATAGAAAGTCAGGCCATTGGTCTAATGGTATCATTGTTCTCCAGGGTCTCAAGTTGATGTCTTTCCCATTACCTACTAACTAGAGAAGATGGGGATTGAAAGCAGGACCTTCTAGAAGCCAAATAATTTCTTAGGCTTTGGGTCATGTTCCCATTTCCAAACTGGGTCATCTTCAAAGATGCATAACATCCTCTATATGCTTAATTACTAGGTCTGAAAGTGCCTAGCACACATGATTTGACCTGTATAGTAGTAGCATGGCTCACTTGGTGAAAGTATCTAATCTTTATGCAGGTTGTTTCCTGTTTTCTCACTGGGACACAGGTGTAGCCTGTAGTGTGTTAGACTGATACATGGCACTTGAGACCACCGCTTATTGATAGGAAGCCTGGAAGCCCTGCATACCTGAAATGAGCCGTGTGTTTTCTGTGGGCTCTGCCTTCTGGCCTGCTACTCCTGACCTATCAGGCCCTTTCTTGAGCTATGACCTCTGGATCTATGGCCCACCAGCCCCGACCAGCAGGAGCAGCTTGGCAGACTCGAGGGACTTGTTAGCACCAGTCAGCACTGAGATGACAGGGCTCTGTCATGGAAGCCACATTGATGATGGTTTACCTCTGTCACTGCCATGCAGATTCCTAGAGCCCTCCCCTAAGAGAATGCACATATTGCAAGTATTTGTTAATGGTGTGCCCTTTATGAATGTTTGGGTGCATTGCACATGTTGGGCCATCTAGCATGACATTGTTGTGTTGTGTTTGGATCCATAGCCACAATACCAATCACATGGTATTCATTTCTTGCCATGTCCCTGTCATGCTGGGTTTGGACACAGGCACGACGTGACCCCTTTTTTGAGCCAAAGCCTCCGACTGAGGGAAGCCTCAATCACCGTCGCCCATGTGACTCTCAGCCGGCACGCAGTTCCACATGCTCGGCACATACCCATGACTCAGGCAGCAGCTCCATAGAGACAGCCACCCCACTGACACCAAAAGACAGCCTGGACGACCCCACGGAGCGGTGCCGCGTCCTCCCTGCCTGGCTGGGAAGGGTCCCTCCTCCTCCTCCTCCTCGGGTTCCACCTCCTGCTGCCTCCTCTGGGCAGGCGGGTCTTCTGGCTTCCCCGGCCGCCGCCTTCCCTGCAGAAGTGCTCCCGGGCCGGGGCCAGGCTGGGCTGCTGGTCCCCCGTGATTTGGGTCGGGGAGGAGGTGGAGCCTGAGGCAGGCTCCGTCCGTGGACTGAAGCGCGGGAGAGGGGGGGGGGGGCGCGCGAGAGAAGGAGCCAGCTGGGACCGTCGTCTCCCCAACGCCGGGCTCCCGGCCACGCCGCTGCCGGGGGCTCCCCGCAGAGAGAAGCTTCTGCTTGCCGGCGGCGAGGCGGGCGGAGGAGTCGCGCGCAGGACGCTCGGGCGCCCCCCCACTCCCCGCCCCTCCGGCCGGCGCCTGGAGACTTGTTGAGGGGGCACCGAGAGGCGCGTGCTGCCCCCTGGCCCGATGGAGGAGGACGTTATGGACAAAGTGGAGGACATGGCGTCGGTGAGGGACTTCGACCCGCTCACGGGCACGATCCCCGCCACCAAAGTGGAGCTCACCGTCTCCTGCAGGTAAGGCCGGCCCGGCAGGCGAGAGAGGGGGTCGTTGGCAGGGCGCCGGAGAGCAGCAAGTTTCTCTCTCGCTTCAGGCGGCGATTCCAGCCAGGCGTTGCCGCTTCCCTAAAGTTTCTGCCTTTCCCCCCGTGTGGCTGGGACTGGAGGTGGCTGGGGAGAGCGGGCGCCTTCCGCGAGGGGAAAAGCCACTCACTCGGCCGTCGGTCCCCCCCCCCTCCGGGCTTCCTGCTGGGAACAACCCGGGAGGGGTGGATGGACGCTCGCGACTGAGCCACATATGGAAGCCTCCTCTCTGTTAGTTGGCTGGTGAAAGCAGGGATAGTCGGTTGCCCTGGGAGCACATGAGGAGCACCTGGGGGAGGGGGTGTGCCCTGGTGAGTCAGGTGGCGGGGCGCCCGGGATCAGGGAGCACACACACACTCAGAACCGGGGGTGGGGAGGGGAGTCTCCCATTAATAATCCCTTGGACAGAGAGTGCGGTATGGCAAATGCAAGTGATCTTGGGCAGATCAATTACTCCCCCACACTCCTCATAGGTTTATACTTGGGTTCATCCCTGATCTCAGTCTTTACAGGATCATCGGTAATAAGGAGAAAAATTAGCTGTGACTCACAGTGCAATCCTAGGTAGAGTCATATCTTTCTGAGCCCACTGACTTTAATGAACTTAGAAGGGTGGAACTCTTCTTCCAGAGCGTGCTGTTAATGGATCAGCTCTTCTAGGAACAACACTATACATAACATTGCGCTCAAAGGCATTCTTCATTCTAGAAGAAGATTACATGCCCTTGTGGCTACAAAAGTGGATTCAGTGAAGGAGCCTCCCTCTGTTGACAAAACATGAGATAAACTCATTTCTAACTTATTCACACATAATAAACGTGGGGGGAAATCACCTGTCGTTACCCCACAAGGGGAAACATTTTATTATGATGAACTTGAGTGATTTTACCATGCTGCATGCTTACTGCTATGATCCATGCACATTGTACATAGGTAACCATTATTGGCGAGCTGGGATGGATGGAAGGACTCTGAAGTTGTTATTTATTTATTATTTCGGCTTCTATCCCGCTCGAACCCCCCCAGGGGTCTCTGAGCGGCTTACAGTATTCTACACAGGGTTAAAACTAAATATTTAACTATTTAGAAAGATAAAAGAAAAAGACATCTGTAGAGAACTGGGTTAGAAATATCCTACCCATTAAAGCTAAATATACCGCAAGTAATACCACAAGTAATAAATCCAGTCTTCTATTGTTCCTTAACTTCCATATGTACAAGAGATGTAAACACGTGTTTAATCCAGGACAGGTGATAATGGTTGCAATCCTAAAGATACTTTCTGGGATTAAGTCCCATTGAGTAGTATGATACTGATTTCTGAGGACACCTGTTTAGGATTTCTCCCTTTAAGTATGCCTTCCATTATGAATTGTTTGATGTGCCAGTCATATCCTTATATTCCATATTCATTAATTTTAAAAAGCTGCCATCCCCAGGCTCTCTACTCTGTAGACCAATAATGAAATTTAAAATTCCTCTTTCCATGTGGAATGAACACTCAGGATCACTTCCTGTAGATCAGTTACCTTTGAACTCACAAAGGGATAAGCAGTTAGGAACATGAAATGGGGAGGTTACTTAAGTTATTCCAGTACAACTGATAGAGAACAATAATATGATGCATTCCACATCCTACTACACATGTAGCATGCACCATCACAGACCAAGTCTACTTTGTACCCCATATTACTAGACTACTCTGGAATAATAGCACCTGTTTAATTTAGACCATCATTTCATCAGAATATATATTTTTCTCTGAAATCATTTGATGGACTAAAACAAACACAAACTTCTACAGACTATGATTAACATCTTTGCACACAGCTAGAATGAAATGCAACACTAGTGGGCTGGCTCATCCATGTTAAGCAATCCCCTTCTACCCCAGCAATAGGAACAGAATTCCAAAGGCAAGTGGTGAAATGTAGAATGTTTATCAGCCAGCTCTCTACAGATGCCCTCTTCTTTTATCTTTCTAAATTACTTGTCAGGCTTTTAGCTTTCTCATTATCACTAGCTGGAAAGGGGGGCTTTGGAAGCAGATTGTGCTATGAAAAGCACGTTATTTCTTCATTTTGTAAAACCAAGCCAAATAATTTATTTTCTAGGAGCTGCATAATTCTTCTGAAAACTTCTGTTTTCCTCCTCAGAAGGCAGCAAGCCCAGTTTTAATGCAGAAGCTCTTAGACTCAGGATGTCTGCTTACTGATGATGCTGCGATATTAATATACAGCTTTAAGGACAAGAAAATACCCCCATTTTAAACTTGAAGCAAAATAAGAGACTGGACAAAATCTATGAGGGCTAATAGCAGCTGGACATTTATATGTAGGGAACAGTGCAGCTATATTATTTTGTATGAAATTAAAGGGATATTGAGACTTGAGAATGCAAAAATTTTATTATGAGTGATCTCTCGCATAGACATAGAACTCGATCCTTCTTCATTACAGATATCTGATTTACGTTTGCCCCTGTATCTGATTAGGGCAGGGGTGGGGAAGCACTATGCTCCTGCATGCAGTGTACCTGACCAGCTTGCCAGAAGGAGAGATAGCAAGCAGCACCTTTGGCTCACCCCCCTGCAGCCATGTGCTGTTCATATCACTGGGAGGAAAGGACAGAGCAGTGACTGGTGGCTAGCCTTCTACCTCTGTCTCCCTAAGTGCATACTTTCCAGTGAGTGCAAGCGAAGCATTCATCACATTTGCCTCTCACCTCTGCAAGTATGTAGCAAGGACCATCACAGGTGGGAAAATGTAATATGACAAGCTTTTGCCTTTATCACCTCCCCCTCTAGTTGGCAGAACTGCTGGTGTGTGAGCCATAACCTTTGTCCTTTTCACCAGTCAGGGAGCTCTGCCACCTGATACAAACATAGCTTGGCTCCTGCCCAGTGGGCATGGCTTATTTAGAGTTGGAAAGTCATCCCAAACCACTCAGAAGTGATGGAAAAGCTGTGCACAGAAATGTCATTTGGGACAATGCTGGATAATGTCTCTGTTATGCACAGATCTACTGATTGACTCCCTCTTCTCACTGGTCCTTCTGTTGCCTGGGCAAATGAGGCACCAGAATAATGGTCAGATTGGAATGTTTTCCAGCAATTTATGAGTATCTGAAACAATTATGATTGGAACATTAACCATATTAAAGAAAGGGTATGGTTTGTGCTGGATCTTGATTCTGTATTTTATGAAACTGCATATCTGTTATCTCTAATCCTAAAACCAAGAGTGAAATGTCCAATCTGTGACTAAGGGGTTTTGTAATCCTGCTAAGGAGTTCCATCTTTTTGTTGCAAAGCCATTTAAATTATAAATGAGGTAGAATGTACTCCTATCCTACCACTCCACTGAGCAAATTTTGTTGATATTTAAACCCCACCTTTCCTTTTTGCTCAAATTTGAAGCCTTCCTCCTATCTAAGAAGACTTCCTCTAACTTAAGTTGGAGGAAGGCTACTTGGAGGATGGTTGGATCCACTCCAATGGTTAAAATTTCCATCAGAATTTGGAGGACATTATGGAGCCATCATCCGCTGTCATGGAAGGGAGTGTGAGCTGAACAATAGCCCCTAGGCCTGGGGACCAGAGAAAAGACATTAGGGGATGCCTACCTACTTGTTTCTCTGGTGGGAGCTGCTGTTTTTGATGTCTCCTTTTTTTAAAAAAAATAGAATAATAGTCTGGTTACGGGCATGTTCTTCTTCAAGCTGCTGTAACCATTGCACAGCTGCCAAAGCCATGAACATTAGAGCACATCATTTGTATTTAGCTCTGAGAGATATTGGAGTGAGAGAATCAGTATTTGCTCTTGAAAGACTATATTTTGCCAGTCTCTTTGCTTAAGCCTCAGTAAGCTATTATTTGCTCAGCCACTTGGCATCATAATATGTGAAAGATCTCAAGATTTCATAGGTTTATAGTCACTTTGTTAGCCCTCTGCTATGTGATACGTACTCTCCGGGCTTCTAATATAATGCCAAGACTCACACACACACACATCCTGAACATTCCCTGTTTGAACTGCTGCCTTCGGGCAGAAGATATAGGACAATTAAAGCAAGGACAAATAGATTAAAAAATAGTTTTTATTCGAGAGCTGTTATTGCCTTAAATGCTGTATGAAATTGGAATTTGGGTGACATTGGTGGTTTTAAGTTGTTATGTGAACCTTAAGGGAGTTATGGGACAGTAGTGAATGGTGTGTGAGTGTATATGAATATTGTTGTAGATCACCGAAATGATTGCATCTTTAATTTTGTTGTCAAGTGTACAATGACAATAAAGTATATTATTATTATTACATGCATGCATGTGCACACACGCACGCACGTATGTGCACACACCCACCCTGAGCTATTCAAGGGTGAAGATTTCCCCAGAATGCAGCTTTATAAATTGGAGCCGTTTGGGGGCAAATTAGGAAAGCAAGATACATGCATGTTGTTAGATTTCTCTGCACTTTATGACTGGTGATAGAATATGTGACCTGACCCACACTGAAAAATGAAAGAACTGTCTATGGAGTCAGAGCTGTGATGACATATTCCTACATGCACGGTATCAAGGGTATGTATGTGTAAACCAGTCCTGCCATTTGAGATGCAGCAGTTGTTCTGAGTTCACACAGATCCCTTACAATTGCCTGAGTACAGCATTTGCTTTAGCAGATCTAATACTACTGACATAGAAAGCTGCCCTATCCTGAGTCAGACCATTGGTCTGTCTAGCCTAGTGCTGTCTACTCAGCTCCAGTTGGCATTGGCTCCCTCAAGCCAAGGACTGAATGTGAGACTTTCCATAGTTAAAGCACGTGCTCTTCCCACTGAGCAATGATCCATGGGATTCTAAGAGAATGTATACATGCATATGTACATCATTCACTATTATGTCGAACAATGTCCATTTTAAAGCGATCTGAGGT